AGAGTTTGATCTTGCTATGAGCTGTGACGCCACAACACTCTATTGAGGGCGACATAGTAAGACTGTCTCAAAAAAAAAGTCAAGCATAGAGCTTGTCTCCAGTGGATTTTTAATAAAAACTGAACATATAAATGAAAATAGTGCCCCATTCCCCACTAAGCACAGTGAAAAGGGGCAATGATGAACTTCTAATAGGAAAACCACTAATTAAAACCTAGGTCTTCTGAGGTTGAAAATGGAGGAAGATTTTCCACATTCAGAAGATAAACTGGTCCATAAGTTTCAATTCTTGTCTCCAATATTCACTTTAATCTTGGGGGTCTCAGTATTGCTGCCCCTCCTCACTGGTCTTACTGGGAGGAAAGTGCTGTTTCCCTTATAATGCTCTTTTCTAGTTAGACTCTTGGTACAGCAAAACAAAGTCTCATATTTCAGTAAGACTTTACCACATCTAGAGGAAAATATAGGAAAGAAAGCTCAAAGAACAAAACAAAAGTAAGTAGCATATCTTATCAGTTAAGGATGTTTTTCTCTGGGGCTTTTAGGCCCATTTTACCTTAGTTCCTAATCTATATTCAATTGATAAGCACTATTAATATTTTAGCACCTATCACCCAAAAATTTGTGCGTACCATACCCACTCCTTCAAAACTAAACCTACGAGAGAGAAGCCCAGAAAGATCCAGTTCCCTTTCTTCCATTTATTTAAATCTTCTTATCCAAGCTGTAATTTCTTGATCTAGAACCTACCTTTTTCCTGAAGGCTGAACAAGGGAAATGTCAGCCCTGTAGGAGAGATTCTCCTATCCTCAAAGAGCTCAGTTTTACCCTACAGGAGCCAATTAACTTTTACCTAAACATGGCATAGTAAAACACTGTAATATGTGCCAGGTACATATATTGTACTGTAGCAGGGAGTATCGCTTGCCAAACCATCTAGAAACTTTAGCTTTCTCACATGTTGGTAGCATTTTGTACTACTTTTCATTCCTTGAAATTTTCAAACTCCGTATTGACTGTCTTCCAGCTATGCTCTTCCTTCTCTGGTTAATTTCAGACTATCCTGGCTCTTTTCTTATTCTGCATTTTCCCATAGCCAATTGTACCTACTGCCATGGTTATAGTATAATCCTAACACAGTGGTTAACAATAGGCTTTGAATCAGTTCTACCAAGTTTCAGCTATGTGAGGATAAAATAATGTCTGCAGAGCATTTCAGAGTGCCTAGAACACAGGAAGCACTTAGACGTGGTAGCTTAAAAGCAAAGTAAAATAAAACATCCCTAATGCTGCTAGTTTCTGAATACAACCACCCCTTAGTAAGGTGGTCACATACACCCAGGCTGGTGGGTTCAAACCCGGCCTGGGCCAGCTAAACAACAATGACAGGTATGGTACAGTATTTGCCTACAACCTAAGTCATGTAAATCATCTGTAGATTCCTTATAATACATAAATACAATTCTATGTAAATATACAATGATTTACAACCTGTAAATTATCTCTAGATTCCTTATAATACATAAATACAACTCTATGTAAATAGTTGTTAGACTGTATTGTTTAGGGAATAATGACAAGAAAAAATAGCCTACGTGTTCAGTACAGTCATAATTAAAAAATATTTTTAGCTCTAATTCAGACCTTGTTGCTGAGCTCAGGATCGAAGTTAATGACATAACGACTATGGACGTAGGAAAACTTGAAAATAAGATTACCTTCTGTTAAATAAAATTTACAGGAAGCCATTCATTTTGACTGAGCTTCTACATTGGGCTCCAACAGAACAAACCAAAATGATGTCACTCATGCTAAAGTTTCACATCACCAAATGGAAGCTAAGTTGTTTAAGTGACCTACTACAAAATCAGGAGAGAGAGCAAATAGCCAAATTCCCCAACAGGCCTACTTTACCGTGCTAATGAAGTACCCTCTGCTTTAACCCTGACAAGGAAAATAATATGAAGTTTCTGATGTTAACCAACCTGCTTTTTGCATTATGCTGTTTCCTTGTTCCCATTGAAGCTACCTCATTAAAAAAAAAAAAAAAAAAAAAGCATAGCACCTCTCTATTTTACCTGATTTATGGACTGCAAAAAAATGTTGAAATTTTGCCTTTTGATATCTTTGGGGTCTCAACTATCAATCAGTGGGCACTCAACAGAAATGTCTTCAGTGAATGCCTAGTGACGAAGAATATGAGAAACAGTGACTCAAGAAAGGTCTGTATGACTAAGTTGGAGAGTGGTACATTAAGTGGAAGGTGTTAATGGACTAAATGTTTCACTTTATAATGGAAAAAGAGCAGCAGGACACCACTGAATAGTTTTAAGCAAGAGAAAATCTGATCAGATTTGGATTTTTAAAAGATCATCCAAGCTGCTGTGCGGAGAACTAATTGAAAAGGGCTATGGTGAATAATCATTTTTGTAGTGGTCTTTCAAGATTATGGAAGGTTGGAAAAAGACTGTACTTATGCACAGAAAAGAATGTATTTGAGAGATATATGGAGATAAGATTGGCAAGACATGGTAATAATTTAGCTATAGGAGTATAAAGAATTAAGAAGAAATAAAAAATAAAAACAAACAAAAAAAGAATTAAGAAGAAATAAAGAATAATGCTAAGCTTTCAAATTTTCACAAGTAGATGGATGGTAGTGTCCTTTACTGAAATAAAGAGCACTGGCAAAGAATCAGGTTTATAGGAGATAACTGCATTTGATTTTGGCAAGGTGAATCTACTATCGCCAAGAAGATAAATCAAGGCACTAGCTATATGAGACGTGAAGCAGGGGGATAACATACATTTGAGAGTCACAAATGATAATGAAACCATGAGAATGCACAGGATCACATTCCACTATGCCATACAAAAGGCATGCAGCCTTAAGAAACTAGGCTGGCTCGGCGCCTGTGGCTCAAGCGGCTAAGGCGCCAGCCACGTACACCTAAGATGGCAGGTTCGAATCCAGCCCAGGCCCGCCAAACAACAATAATGGCTGCAACCAAAAAATAGCCGGGCGTTGTGGCGGGCGCCTGTGGTCCCAACTACTTGGGAGGCTGAGGCAGGAGACTTGTTTGAGCCCAGGAGTTGGAGGTTGCTGTGAGCAGTGAAGCCACGGCACTCTACCCAGGGGGATAGCTTGAGGCTCTGTCTCAAAAAAAAAAAAAAAAAAGAAAGAAAGAAACTATGCTACCCTCTGTGCGCTGGATAAAGGGTAAGCCTCAAAAAGAAGACAAAGAAGGAATAACTTTTGTTTTTTAAATCACATTCTTAAGAAGTTGCTCTTTTCTTTTTTTCCTCCTGGAGACAGAGTCCTACTTTGTTGCCCAGACGTGAAGATACTGGCATGATCATATATCACTGCAACCTCAAACTCCTGGGCTTAAGGGATCCTTCTTCCTCAGCTTCTAGAGTAGCTAGGACTACAAGCTGCACTCCACCATGCCTGGCTACTATTTCTATGTTTTGTAGAGACCAGGTCTTGCTATGTTGTCAGGCAGACTTTGAACTCCTGACCTCAAGTGATCCTCAGCACATTTTTAAAATTCTGATTCAAACCAGTAATATTAGAATGTTAACAGGTCTAGTTAACAAACTAGACCAAGTTATTAAAACTTTATATATCTGTCCAAAGATACATAACTTACACAAACTAAAAAATTCTCAGTTCCTGTCTCTCTTCAGCTTCAAAGTACATCAAAACACTAACACCCCACGCCTCAAAATAGAGGGTGCCAAAAAACACACATTTAAAGAGATGCTATCTATGTATTACTTTTTGAAGTTTAATTGAAGGTACCATTACTGGTCATGTGTACCTAGACATGCTAGGTACATTTCATTTTAGCTGCAATTCACACAATTTTGGGGAATTATCAATTTTACTTCCAACAAGATCTCTTAAAATGTGCATACATTTTTTGGCACCCCTGGTATATATGATTTGGTTTACTACAGATTTTTGAAAGTACCCTCTCTATCACTTTGGGCCTCAATATATGCTATTCTTTTGGTTCTCACTTCCCCTGGGATGAAAATTTCCCACTTTCCAAGACTAGGTTAGGTATTTTCCTTCTAGCCATCCCAATTATATCATTTAGTATCGCATGTTTACTGATTTTTCTAACTAGATAACACTGGGTCTTCCTTCACTGTTATATATTCTCAGTGCCTAGTAAGACTAAATTTTTGGAAATACATCTATTATGCAACGTGAGGAATTAGAATCTAATCTGATTATCAATCCGTGGACGGCCATTTAAATCTTGACTTTTCTCAAGAGTAGTTACTTTTTAGAAACAAACAGTCATTTTAAGAAAATGATTGAATCTTTTGAAGGTACTAAATTTCTGAGACTTTTTTTTTTTTTTTTTTGAGACAGAGCCTCAAGCTGTCACCCTGGGTAGAGTGCCATGGCATCACAGCTCACAGCAACCTCCAACTCCTGGGCTCAAGCGAGTCTCCTGCTTCAGCCTCCCAAGTAGCTGGGACCACAGGCGCCCGCCACAGTGCCCGGCTATTTTTTGATTGCAGCCGTCATTGTTGTTTGGCGGGCCCGGGGCTGGATTAGAACCCGCCACCTTAGGTGTATGTGGCTGGCGCCTTAGCCACTTGAGCCACAGGCGCCGAGCTTATTTCTGAGACTTTATAGCTTTTTCCCCCCATATGATGCTCTAAAACCTGAAACAATTCATACCTAGGATTACTGAAGATTTCCTCCCCCAGTATTTAGTCTCAGGCAAACCGATGTTGCTTTCAAAGCCCTACCTGGAATTTCATTTGACTGAGTAAATACCACAGAACATCCCCATACAAAGGCAAACAAAGGTGCAATTGCAAAGGGAGCCTAAATCCATCCCGCGCGTGTCCATATCAGAGGGCGGGAGCAGGGGCAGCAGCGCAGAGCACCCGATTCCACAGCATCCTTCTTGCTTGACCTTACTCAGGCCTCTCCAATGACCCTCATGATCAAAATCCCCAAACCCTCGCCTTACCAAACACCTGGGCTTGGGCAGCTGAACTAGAACTTCCCACGCAGGTCACTGCAAAAAGTCCCTAGGTTAAGGGCCCCAATCCTAGATGGCTTCGTCTCCAAACTCGCAGAAGAAAAAATCCAGTCAAAGGAAAGTGACGACAGCCCCATCCTACAATGCTCACCAAGCCGACGAGCTCAGGCAAGCCCTGCCTTGCTAACCGTTGGCTCTCAGGGAGCCACAGTAACGTCGCGGTGTTCCCTGCGGAGGGGACTGGGCTAGTTTCTGTCGCAAATAAAACGCGCCGGGAGCATCAAAACTACATTTCCCAGAAGTCTATACGAAGCCGCCCTGCCTGCTTGAATCTGGGGTTTGGAGTGGTAAAGAGGCCTTCACTATTTTTTAGGCTAATCTTAAATTAAGACTCAATTTCTTCCAGAAGTGCCTTCCAGTCCTCTTTCTTGGTTGTGCTTGCGTCGTGTGATAAAGTATCCATACAATTTCACTCCTTACTTTTCCTTCCCCTTCTCCAGGCCACAGACATCAAACGTCAGGAAACGGAAAACTCTCGGCGCACGCTTAGTGGCCCTGGACGCGCATGCGCCCTATCCCCAGTCACGCATGCGTAGCACTGGCAGCGGTTGACTGCCGCGCGCGGCGGATTTGGGGTCTGGAGGTAGCCGAGCGGAGGGCGGGGCTCTTTCCAATGGCTTTGCCTCGGCGGGTCGAGTCGGCCTGGGCGGCTCCCGGTTTGTGCCGGGCGGAGAAAGGGGAGGGACTGGGGGTGAGGACCCCGTCTCCCCTCCCTGCTCCCGCCCTCTGGGCTGATCCCCACCGCTGGGGCTGGGCGAAGGGGCGGTCTCTGCCTCAGGCCCCGCTGCTCTGCCAGCTCTACGGTCCACCCCGCGCTCGAAGATTGCCGGGGCCGCCCTGTGCGCTCTCGCTTGGCAGTGGTGGGCGAAGGCACAGGGATCAGAAGTGGTGTCTTCCCAGGGGTCCGGAATCGGCGCAGCCGGGCACGCTTTCCTTCACTGCTGCCCGCCCATGCTGCTGCTGCTGGAGACTGCCATCCCTCGGGAGCGCCCAAGTCTGCGGCCAGGGGGCCGGGGTTCGGAGAGCCCTCCCCGCCGGCGCCCGGCCCGCTGCTGAGACGCGGGGAGGAGTTGTGGAGGGCGGGGACTGGTGCTGGAGGAGGGGCGGGGTGGGAATGCTCTGGAGAACCCGGTGGCTGCACAGACAAGAAAAAAAAACCAAACCCAAAAGGCTGGAGAGTGTTCAACTGTTACCAGCCTTTTGGGGCAGAGCACGGATTTGACAGCTCCACAACGTGAGGATATCCGCTGACCCCGCGAGACCGAGAACACTTCCCGGGGCTCCCTGTCCAGCAAAGCCAGCGCTGTAAGGTTGCAACTTTCCAACTTTGTTTTTTCAGTTTCTTTCGTGTAGAAGGAGAGTTGAAGAAGGTGATCTATCTTGTAGATCAGTTGAAAGTATCCATATAAAAGACACGCCTGGTTCCAAATGTCACCTAGATCTGAGTTTTTATGACCACTCCTCTGATTTCTTACATTTCTCATTTTAAAAATACGAAGCGTTTTGGGGGCATGCTGAAAGGCAACTAAAGACTGCAAAGGAAAAACTCCAGTTGTCATGGCTGAAGGAGAGAACGAAGTGAGATGGGATGGACTGTGCAGTAGAGACCCAACTACTAGAGAGACAGCTCTGGAAAACATTAGACAAATCATTTTGAGAAAAACCGAGTATCTTCGTTTGGTGAAAGAGACATCGTGTGGTCCATCCGACATGGTTTCAAATACTGTTTCTTTGGACGGGTTGAACAAGCTGCTTGCTCATCTGCTTATGCTTTCTAAGAGGTGTCCCTTTAAAGATGTAAGAGAGAAAAGTGGGTTTATTCTGAAGAGTATCCAGGTAAGAAAGAGCATTATGAGTACAACTGTCTCTCTAGGACCGTGAAATTTTATTTGCAGTTATTCACGGTGCATTTGCTTCTATTAGGTTGTTATTATGTGAACTTTCGTTGTGAATTCACTCTACATCTTCAAATTAAGAGTATTCTGTAAAAAATTGAATTTGGGGGCAAAATTTTGGACAAGGTGAGCTAAAGTGAAAACGATTTCCAAATATAAGTAAACAATTATTGTTTCTCTAGAGTGTCTTAGACAGAAACTGTGTTACTTCTGGAAAAATTGATGAAAGTTACAGTTAATTGCCAGTAAAGACTGGCTTGTCCTTATATTTCTTTTTACATGTGGTTGGGAATTGTAGCCAGTATGCCTTTCACATTGTTACAAACAGTGCTCTGTGTGAAAATGTTCACATTTAAAAGCCTCTAAAATGATAAAGGATATTAAATGTTTCTTAGTCGGCTTATTCAAGATAATTGGTGGAACAATTTTCTCTTGTTCTTAAAAACAAAGCAAACAAAAAACCCAGGGTGTGTTCTCTAAATGCAGCCTCAAAGAAAAAGTTATATAAAATAAGAAAAGCCAGTGTTATAAAGAAGCCACATTTTTCACTATCTTCACGTTGAAAAATTGGACCCAGGTAGGGTGTATAGTAGAAACACTTTTATAGTTGACTGCTCAACCATCTTTCTCTATATTTGCCTAAATTATTTCTTTTATGTATGTTGTAAATGCAGCATATTTAAAATTTTATAGTTTTCTCTCCATTTTGTACATAATTTATCCTGTTTTATTACAAGGTTTATTAGAAGGCTTTTAAAAAGAGAAATAGTTTTGGATACTAAGGATGTTTAGTAACACTTTATATATGCTTGACAATTTGTAAGTAATTCAATCCACATGTGTTATTCAGAGTCTTATATGATATGTTTTAAAAATTTATAGTTTACTGGTAAGCTAAGATTGACAGTTTTTCTATATTAGCTTGAATTTAGTTTAAAACAACAGAAAAATAATCCTAAGTACAAAATGAAGACACTGAGATTTGGAAATATTTCTTCTCACACTTTGGAAACAATTGTTACAATTCAGAGTTACCAGAGAGGAATTCATTTTCTAGATAACTGAAGTATACTTTTAAGCATAAAAAATTATAACTATCTCTTAGACGGTACTGACTATACAAACTTATTTTTAATGGGCTCATTGCTATGCATAGTAAGCGCCGTTATGCAGCAAAGGATGGCGTGTACAGGACTCCATATTTTTTGCATTTTTTTGTCTAATTTTTATAGTTTTTCTGCCCTTGCCCTTGCTGTTGGTATACTGTGGTCTCTTCCTAACCTTTAGTTTTGTTTCTTATTTATATTAAAATAGAAAGCCAGATAACCACTTTTATTAGAGTTACTGAAAAGAAAAGTAAGTAGGCTCTGCGAAGTACATCGT